ATTTTTCCAAAGGGGTGGGTATGCATGCGGGAATTTGATTTTCAAATATTTCAAAGGGCCATATTTTGGAAACCAGTAAAGTTATTGGCATGAAACCAGACATGAAACTTTGGCTCAATCTGGGACTAGTGTTTGGTGCTCGCACCAGTAAGGTAAAGTACCCAGTTGTTGACAGGGTCCCAAAAGTTGACACATTAGCATATTATTCCCGAAAATAAGAATTTATATAGGTTATAAGCTAACTGAAATAGCTTATAGTATTGTTGGAGCCATCTTTCAGGCTATAGCTGATGTATGGATTTGAAATGACAAGCTTTTTCAAAATTGTGGCAAGAAGTAGTGAACAGGTGCAAATGTTTGAATTTTTTCCCAGATTTCTAGTGAAAATAGTTAAGAAGATATAAAAACAAAAGTTCTCAAAGCTAAGGTAGGGTTGATAAATTATGAATAATATATATTTACTGTATGATAAGATACATTGTAATACATATTTATTATTGTTTTATCTCTTAAACAACTGGCATAAAGTTTTAAGGGGGGGTGTCAACTATTGAAGCCCAAATCGAGGGGTGATCCAAATGTTGACACTAGTGTCAACTTATGGATTTTTGGCGGTAAAAATATTTTAGCATTCTAGTCTGTCTCTTTTTATTGCTCTGGATTAAAAAGAAACCTAGATATGGGTTTGGGGAATGTAACGGTCGTAGATCCAAAAGATGACACCCCTGTTACCCCTGTCAAGGTTTGGAGCTTTGGAGTGTCAACAATTGGTCCTTTCAAGTTTAAATCAAGAGATGACGCATGAAAAATGGAAATTGCTGAAATATGCACCAGAACTACCAGAAGACGTGATTGCTGCATTGGATGATTGCGATAGGGGGCTCATTGCAGCTACAGCAGCAAAAAAACACATTTTACCAATGCTTTCCAAGCAATTTCTTTTATTAGCAATTTGGAATTGAAATTTGTATTTTTTTCGCAACAAAAAGTTTCCCAATGTTATTTTTTATTATTAAAAAGTTTGATTCTTACATTATTGATGTTTCTACCACGGTTTCTACTGATACAGGCAACATGTCAACTATTGGTTTCAAGAGTGTCAAGTAATGGAACCACAACATGTACTTAAAAAAAATTAAAATAACTGGTTATTATGTGTATATATTTTATTTAAAAAATTGTACACTTAGAAAAATATACCTCTTAGTTCCACAGATCGTGATAAAATTTCCTAAAAGTAAAAATTTGGTTTTGTAAAAAAATATATGTCAACCTTTGGATCAAAAATGTGTCAACTTTTGGCGCAGTGAACTTTTTTGGGTGTCAACTATTGGGGTTTTATCACCTTTCAGGTATTTTTGGCATATAATAACACAAATTATAGGAATATAGAGTAAATAATATATCTACACATTCAATTATGAGTTTGAAATCATGCTAAAAAATATATCATAGCCTTGGGATTGAAAATTTGGAAAATGTGTGGTGATCATAAGCAAGGATACCCTTAACATGTCAACAACTGGGTACTTTACCTTATGTCAAAACACTCAAAACAACAACCACCTTCAATTTTTTAATAAATTTGTAATTTTTAACTAGAAATTTGAAAAATCTATATTAAAATTGTTGTTTTGGGTGTAAAACGCTTTAGTGCAACAAAACTTAACAAATTTCCTATAAAAATTAGTTGATATATCCTTTATACAGTTGGTTTTGTATCAATTTAAGGTTTAAAGTCAACCCCCATTTTCTGAACCTTGTGTTCAAAAATTCCAAAAAAAATATAATATGTTTAATGGTTATTGATATACTTTAATCCATAATTTTTTTAAGCAAATTTGACTCGCCATTTTTGAGTTATATCGCAAAAACTGAAAAAAAAAGTGGTTTTTCACCATTTATTTCAAAACGAATAGATGAAGTTTCCCGTTATTTTTATTACGAACTACTATTGCAATTCTACGCGACATATATTTTTTTCAAATTTTTTGAACTTGTAGTTTTCTCGCTACTGCAAGAATAGTTGAAAATACGACTGTGACTGTAGCTACACTGTTTAAAAAAAAATTCGACTGATGAACGTTCAAAATTATTTGTGCTGGTCCAAACTACAATCCTGTTTATGTAAAACAGAATAATACTTCGAATTTCCGCAAAAAAAAGAAAAAAATTTCCATCACATAATTTAATCAAATGCAGATTTCTATTTTTTTATTGACTATCAAGTTAAGGCACACTATAGGGGCGACAGTACTGACATCTCGCGTTGCTGTACTAAACTATCGGCCTGACTTTAAACTTTAAGTGCGGATATTGACGTTTTTTGTCGTAGTAAGCGAATATTCACATTCACAATTACTTACACATAACCAGTAGATATTAAACGAGTAGATATTATAACTAGTAGATATTGAACGAACTGTAACTCAAACTAACTAAAAGTATGCAAACTAACCCAAACTAACCCGTACACGTAATGCGTGCGAGTCCTTGTATGTTGATATTGAATTTAAAGGTAATTTTTGGGCTCTCGGGAACGGGCTATAAGGCGTTTTCTGATCAAGTTCATTTCTGGTACACATACCTACCTATATAGGACGTCAAAAGAAAGTTTTCCAAAAAAAAATTTGACCTTGACCATCAAATTAACGTAAATGGCAGTTTAACGTGCTGAAAACTTGTATAGTGTTGAAAAGCATCTCAAGTAACCTATATACTGAGTTTTAGCCTTCAAGGTCATACACATTCAGAGATACGGCAACTCCGCATTCTCAGTTTGGGCTCTCGGGAACAGGGTAGAAGGCGTAGTCCGATTGAGTTCATTTTTAGTATACATATAAAGGCCGTAAAAGGTGACAGTTCAGTAAAGGTCCTTCAAAAAAAAAAATAATGCTTCTTCATTATAGATTGTTTAGTTTGATCCCAAAATATTGTTTTATGATCGAAAATGTTGGCGCAAATAACTATAAATTGGATTTTATAAATATTGAATGAATCCTCTTCTCGACCTTTGACACAGATCAATATATAATATCTATTCTTATCAGCCTAATATCACAATCGCTCTGTTTAGCAGATAAAAATTTATTAAACGTAAAAAGCATCATGTGGTAGATATTCGAATGAAGAGAAGAGCTAAGTGTTCAAACCATTTTTTGAAAAAAACATTATTGAGTAATGATAAAGCGTATAATATCTACTGAACTTTTGAAATTGGTACACTTTAACCGACAATAACTGTGCTATATCGAAACTGATCAAAAATATGCAAACTAACTCAAACTTACCCATCTTTGTACTGCGTGCTAGTCCCTGTAAACCTATCCAATCGAGAATTACAAAATAATGCAAAACAACCCAAATTAACCCATTCTTGAAATGCATGCTAGTATCCTTGAACATTTTTATTTTATCTAGCTTGTCGCGTTAATCAGTACACTATATCCAGTTTTAGATAAGTAATTAATATTTAATATCATGATGTTTCCTATTAAAAGTGTCCAAATTGGCCCACCCTGTACATAATTTCAGCACGATAAATAGATATTTACGTGAATTTCACTGGTCAAGGTCACAGTCAAGTTCACGGCCAACGGCCAAAGTCAATTTTTTTTTTTGGGAAATTTCTTTCAGCGGCCTTTATATGTATACCAAAAATGAACTCGATTGGACTACGCCTTCTAGCCCATTCCCGAGAGCCCAAACTGAGAATGCGGGGTTGCCGTATCTCTGAATATGTATGACCTTGAAGGCTAAAACTCGGTGTATGGGTTATTCATGATGCTCTTCGGCGCTATACATCATTTCAGCACGATAAATTGTTATTTATGTGAATTTCACTGGTCAAGGTCACGGTCAAGGTCGCGGCTAAGGTCAATTTTTTCTTGGGAAAATTTCTTTCAGCGGCCTTTATTTGTATACCAAAAATGAACTCAATCGGATTATGCGTTCTACCCTGTTCCCGAGAGCCCTAATCATACCAATTTAAAAAACAAAGCGCGCCTCGCGCGCTGTGTTCTTAATCAGTAAACTTATAACCAGTAGATATTAAGCGAACTGTAACCAGAACTAACCAAAAATATGCAAACTAACCCAAGCTAACCCGTCCACGTAATGCGTACTAGTCCTATGGAAACTAACCCAAACTAACACACCTTTAAATTGAACCACTTTAATTTATAGATTTTTCTTGAAAACTAATATAATCTGCATATTTTTATATTGAAATCGGTCCAAAAAGGCTAACTACAACATTAGGAATGCATCTTATAAGAAACTACGTGTTTCACTAAAGCATTTTACCACCGTAGTTTTAATAAATTATAGTAGATTAGCTCGTCATTATCGATTATTGAATCGTAGTCAAAATTATGGTAGAATTCGATAATTATCGAGTTATTGGCAACACTGACTACTGACTTGCATGTATTAAGTTTATAATACTTAGGTATCTTGTTTTTCTGAAAGAATCAATAATTGTTAACTTGATAAATGATCTAGATAATCAAAAAATATTGTGATTTTTTTAGAATCTTTAGATTTTCCTAAATTTGTACAAAGTTATAATAATAAATCATTGACCATTCCTTATTTCTAATGAAGTTGCAGTTCAAGCATATTCATTCCTTAACAAATCTATAATTTCGATTTGATTTTATTCATAACATTATTTGAGGCCGTTTTTTTGGGCTACTCTACTGTACTATTAGTAACTATCTGTAATATAACATTTTTAAATGTATTTATGATAAATAAAAGAAGGATAAGAAGCAACCAACATACAGTTCAAAAACCTGTTGTTAAATTCAAATTATTAATACCTAAACGTTTATAGTTAAAATATAGTTATTTTTAGCTGTAGGTCAACTAGATCTACATAGATTAATTTAAACAAGTTATATTAAACCTCCTAATTCGCTAAGAAAAAAGTAAAATTAATAGAGGGAAAGCACTTTCAGATCATAAAAAAAAAATAGAAAGCAAATTTCGATACAAACCTGATTGGTGCAAGCATCCTTTGCATTAATTCGAGATAAACTAATTAAAAACAAGCCGAAAATTAATCCAATTACGCCCATGTTTCACAAATTACGAAATAATTTTAATAATCTGCGTGTTGTAATAAAACGTATGTAGGAAGGTCCTTCTTCTTGATATGGATATCGAAGTCTTTTTACATTCTAACAATTAAACCATCACATTTTTAGATTATTTGTCGACACACTGGAGCAAAATTTAGTCTAAAATATTGGAATTTTACTGTTTGTTTGAGGGAAAACGCAATTTTTCATCATAGCAGTAGACATTCAAAACATCAACAATCAACAAAAAATGTAAACAAAACCAGTTGGGGATTAGAAATCGGAACTAGCACAAAATGAACTATTTTTCCCAAAAAATATTTTCTTGTCTGCGTTTCACTCATAGGAATAGAAGAGGATAAAACATGAGCGACATCGTGATACCGATGAATGTTCCCGTTATTCTTGATAGGTGGCGCTAGTCATTTTGACTTTTGTAAAAGTAGCGCGTTCGAAATTCTAATGTAGTTCACCTATTTTCTGTTTTGTTCAGTTGCTGTTCCGTTTATTAATTGGCAGTGGATAGAGGTCCGAAAATTCGGATCTCTAGTGTTCATACTAAAGTTCCGATAATTCTCGGATTTTCAATTTGTATATTAGGGGTCCGAAAATGCGGATCTTCAGTGGTATTATTGAAGATCCGAAAATAGATGTTTATTTCTAGTTCTGTCGTAATTAAGGAATATTATACCATTTCAATAAAATTGATAAAATCAAAAATGCTTGTATTTTTAAGGATTTTATACTAGAAAAAATGGATCCTCTAATTCTTTTTATGTAGAATAGCTAATCAAGTTTACTCGAAAATATTTGGTTACTTTTTGTTCTATTCACATTCACCTGTGTAGGAGTGTAGGTATATTATTTTTAATACCCATTTGGAATAACACCATCCTTGTTCAAAGATTACCAACCAATCACAAATCACTGAAATGACTGGTACTTCCAAATAGGTATTAAAAATACTATACCCTAGCCCAACCTATTCTATTTCAATTATCTATTACTTATAATTAGCTTCAAACATCAGTATAACTTTTCGAGGATTAACTTTTAACGGATAACTTTAACTTGCGTTATATTCTCAAAAATTTAACGATTAACGATTATCGAAGTTAACTTTTAAAGTAGCGAATTAACGATTAACGAAGTTAACTTTTCACTTAACTGTGCCCACCTTTGGTAAGAGGTGTGAGGTGTGATTTAGTTCCTTCAGCACTGCATGCAAAACCAGGCTTTCTTACTAGAAGGCATCTTTGTTACTAAATAATACACTTTATGTTTACACCGAAAGACATGAAATGAGCAATCTTCATGACGTATCACTTTGTTACATATATCCAGAGCTGGGCAGGGCTTGAGTGCTTTGTGCTTGCGAAAGTGCTTGAAGCACTTTGAGGACTTGAAAGCCCTGTGCTTCAAGCCCTTTTATAGATTTGTAATTGGGGCTTGCAAAGTAATTGTACTTTAGAAAAGTGCTTGGTAATTTGTAATTGAAAAAAGTAATTCAAGTCCTTTCAATGAGCTTCAATTACTTTTAGAGGGCTTGATGCACTTTTGGGAGCTCGAAGCCCTTTGAAAGGGCTTGAAGCACATTAAGAGGGCTTGAAGCACTTTTGGGAGCTTGAAGCACTTTGAAAGGTCTTGAAGCACTTTAAAAGGGCTTGAAGCACTTTGAAAGGAATTTGAATTGACCATCATTCAACCTATCCCCCACGTAAAAATTTTCGATTCTGTTTTGTCCCTTAATTTTTTTTTTCTATTATTTGAACTTGAACCGTCTTATGTCTTTTCTCTCCTAACAATGGAGGTTTTGGGTTTGAGCTTAGAATGGAATTGAAAAAAAAAAATGAATGAACTTATTATTCAAATAAATAATTAATTTATATTGGTACCTAGTACCTACCCTATTTAACTTTATCACTGGATTTTTTTTCACTTTTCCCTATTGACCATTTTGAAAACCTTAAAATTGAATTACCATGTAGTACCCCAACTACCTCAAGTATCTCAGAACTACATCTCAAAAAAAAAAACATACTGCTGGTACTCTGTGAAATGTAAAGTTCGTCTCTACTATACCAATGCTGTGTGATGAGCGTACGCGGTAGCTTATGCAACTTTGAGAATTTTATTACAAATTCAAAGTGCTTTAGGCACATTTAAAGAGCTTCAAGCACATTTAGAGAGCTTGAAGCACATTTAAAGAGATTGAAGCCCTTTTCAAGGCACCCCAAGCACTTTTGATGTGCCTCAAGCACTTTTCAAATCACTTTGAGGGCTTTGTGCTTGTCAAGCCCAAAGCACTTTGAGGGCTTTGTGCTTGTGAAGCACTTTTGAAAACGAAAAGGAATTTGTGCTTGAAATTGAAGCACTTTCATAGAGGGCTTAGGGCTTAGTGCTTCAAGCCCTTTTACTGAGGGCTTTGCCCAGCTCTGCATATATCATATCACAAATCCATTTTAGAATACTATTTTGTTTTTCTCCAATTCGTTTTTGTAATAAAACATAAGAATCCAGACAAAAATATGTTTCTATTTCTGCTAAAGATATTTTTTTTTCAAGAAGAAGTGGATCAATTTGTTGATGATGAGGAATGTTTTATTTCTCATTTTGAAAGTTTTTATGTAATGCTTTGCTTACCAAATCATCTGTATTTAAAACTGCATTAAGCATTATCTGGTGCCTCAGTTTAGGAACTTCATTTTTGAATAAAACACTTTTATTTTTCTTAGACCTTTTTAGACCAATTGCAGTTAATTGATGTCCTTTTGGTCTTCCTTTATGGGTTTCAAAGGAAATTTAATACTTTTTATTTTTTCTTCTAATTGGTTTTGTGCAGTAGTATTTGGTTCTTGGGCTAGTTTCATTAAAATGGTGTCGCAAATATCTACAAAGAATAGGTAATATTCAAGATAAGTCTGTTTCTGCAGAAATCACAAATTAGTCAGAGCAAATTTCATTGGTTGAAAACAGTCAGAAACAGAAACCTAGTATCAACCAATGAAATTCACTCTGACTGGTTTGTGATTTCTGCAGAAACATGCTTATCTCGAATATTATTCTTTGTAGCTACTTGCGACGATACTCCTTAATTAGACAGAATTAGAAATAAACATCTATTTCGGATCTTCAATATTAGCTAAAGATCCGCGTTTTCGGACCCCTAATATACAAATTGAAAATCCGAAAATTATCGGATCTTTAGTATGAACACTCGGGATCCGAATTTTCGGACCTCTATCCATTGCCTTTATAATTTAAATTAATTTAAAAATCGGTATAGCTTTAGCAATTAATTTGGGAAATGGCATAGTGCATTACAATCCGAGCACTGGTATAGCGTCGTGTTATATATTTCGAAAATGATCTTGTGAAAAGTAAAGAATAAAGACCATTACATAAATTGAGTATGTTAAATAACATTGCATCGAGCGTCCATCTGAGGAATAACATATAGATGCAAGAAAGAGACAAATCGGGTAAAGATGAAGTAGTAAATTGGATGTGTTACCATGGGCGAAAACGAGAAAGTCTAAGGTGAGAACAGTCTAAAAGTAAGCAGTGTTGCCAAAGAGCAAACATTTTTTGTATCAAAATTATCGACAAATTGTTCCAGATTCAGTAAAAATGTACCAGCCTATCATAGGGTGGTGGTGACCATACTTTTTTCTCAAATGTCACTTTAGAAATAACATTCCAAGACCTACTGGATTGGAACCAATGAAGTAGTAAGAAGGTTGGAATAGCCCTTTGCCTATTTACTCAATACATATATTTGCGGCCAACATTAGAGTGAGAGAACAGGAGAGATCCGTGAGATTTTCCTGCCCTTATTAGCACTATCTCACTCAGGGTTAGCGTGAGAGATATAGGAGATCCAATATATTTTTTACCCTTACTAGCGCTTTCTCATTCTGGAATCAAATGAATGACGAAAAACGCATTCGAAACCTCTTTCTACTTCATTGATTGGAACCCAAGTAAAGTTAGCTACAAAGCAGTGTTGCCACCTGAAAAAAAAATTATAAATTCCCTAAAAAGTTGTTTTTTACTGATGTTTTTTTGCGTTCTTAATTTTTTGGCTGAAAATGAAGAAAATTCAAAGCCTCGTATTTTAAATCGGTTTTCCTGGCCTGGAAAAGCGGGAAATCCAGAGAAAAACCTCTGAAAAGGACATTCCAAAGCATACTTGATGAAACTTGAGTTTTTGTCACTTATCCTATTAGAAAACTGGAAATTTTCAGCACAAAATGAAGTAAACTCAAAGCCTCGTACTTTAAACCATTTTTTCCGTTTTAAAACGGCCTGAAAAAGCGAAAGTTTCCAGGAAAAACGGATAAAAACACTCAAAATGGTCGACTTTCTAAATTGACAAATGACATTTATTACAAGGTTTACATGATTGAAGTTGGCTACAAATGATGTTGCCACATCAAAAATTCCAGAAAAGCCATTTAAATAGAATTTTCCTAATTATTGCATTTAAAAATATAAATTTGTGCTAGAAAATGAAGAAAACTCAGTTTCGTACTTAAAATCGGTTTTCCCGAACGAAAAAGCCCTTGAAAAGCGGAAAATGCAAAGAAAAACCTCTGAAAAGGACATTCCAAAGCCTACTTGATGAAATTTAAGTTTTATTCACTTACCCCATTGGAAAACTGAAAATTTTTGGTACAAAATGGAAAAAACTTAAAGCCTCATATTTAAAATCGGTTTTCCTAATTGAAGAAGCTTTGGAAAAGTGGAAAATCCAAAGAAAAACCTCTAAAAAGAACATTCCAGTACCTACTTGATGAGACTTAAGTTTTTGTCACTTGGAAAACTGGAAATTTTTTGCTCAAAATGAAAAAAACTCAAAGCCTCGTACTTTAAACCAGTTTTTCCGACTTAAAACGCCCTGGAAAAATAGAAAATCTAAGGAAAAGCTGGATAAAAACGTAAACACGTCACTGCAAAATGGCCGACTAAAAGCGACGTTGCCGCATGACATTAATGACATTTCAAATGGTTTAATTTAATTAAATCCTGTTGAATAATTGAATAATAGCGATTTTGAAACAATAAATTTCCCAAATAAGGTCTTGGAAACTTGTTTTTAGTTCAAAAATATTTAATTAATATTTATATGTGAGTAAGACAAAGACAACAATTAAGTAGTATACGTTTGCAACAACACCAAATGTGTGAGATAAAGTAGAATGCCATTTAAAACGCAAAATTATCAAGTTACGATGAAAATCAAACT